TCATTCTCTAGTGCTGGTGATGGAAAATCTTGTTAAACTAAGGCATCGTTCTGAATGTCTTTACTTTTGACAATTCATGGAATCATTTGACATTTAGGATTTCACTTAGCTTTGGGCACATTAAGTCAGAATAATCTGTAAACAAATAAGTTCTTTAGTCAGTCTATGTATTTGATCTTTTAAAATATAGCTGTATTCATACAAACATATGTAAAGTATTATCCCATAAACTCTGTGGCTGTGCATATTATGATAATCTGGGAGTGTGAAATTTAAAACTCCAAATGATTTTCATAAGTAATACACATTTGTGAACGTAGTTTTGTTTTTTTTTTTTTTAACTTTTAATTTGTGATTCAAATAAGCATCAAAATTGATGCAGGAGATAGAAGTATATTTTGTTGTATGTTTCTGTACATATATAAATGGGTGAGGAGCTATTGGTGTTTATTTCCACCTATTTCTTAGATGGAAATTCATGCTTTAGTTAAGTCATGTTGCACTGCACCTTCTCTGCTGTTTGCTCCTTCTGAACTTGGCCCTCTATGTTATAATGTTTTAATTCACGCACTTTCTGTTTCTTATGTTTCACATCCAGAAGAGGTTGGCTGTGTTCTCTTTCCCCTGAAAGCACGTGTTTTGGTCATGACTCGGTTTAGGCTGCTTGGCACCTTCAATGTTTAGCTGTCGGTGGGTGTCTGCTGAGCCTTCTTCTTACAAAGAAGGTTGTGAGGAAGTTTAGAAATCAGAAGCCTTCCATGTGACTAATGAGTAGCCTGCTGCCATTCTTGAGAATTCTGATAATCTCTGACACCCAGAGATTAGAGTGTTCTTTGGATCTTACTGAGACATTCAAAAGTCATCCAACTTGTAGCATTTTTTTTTAGCAGTGGGAGCACTTGGTTGTAGTTAGCAGGCCAGAATGAGCTATAAATAAATAAAATCCTACAGTGCTTGCTTCCTTCATTCAGGGTAGTCTGCTGATAAGATGCAAGCATCTGGCAGAAGAGAAGATTCTCAGCAGGTTTAAGTGCTTACCAAAGTGCTTTCCTGTATCCATGGCTCAGCTTCTAGTCTCTGCTGTGTTATTTTGGCACTCTAGACTTGTAAGATTGGAGAGCTGGGTTTAAAACTCTCAATATATCATTAGGGTAGCCCAAGGTCCCTTCTTGTCAAAGAAGACTAGCTGATTCCAGGGGGAAGGAAAAGCAGAATCCAGGGCACCTGTAAATCCCTGTAGTTTTGTGCTGTGGGTTTGTAGCTAATTATACAGCAGGCAACAGTAATATGCTGCAGCTCTGTTGGCATACTTGTTTCAAAAAGAGCAAAATCTTCCAGCAGAGCAAAGAAGGGGCTTTGAAGGAGCTGCAAATGAATGAAGCAATGATCATTTTATTGTAAACTAAAGCTCTACAGTGGAATCAGGGCATCTGAACTGCAAGGAGGTGGTGCAGGAGATGCCAAGTAGAAATACATGGTTCAGATGTGTTTTACACCTCTTGATTTGGATTCTCCTGCAGAAATATAGTCACACAAGGAGACCACCACTGGTCACAGCCAGCCAAATTGCTCTTTCTCCTATGGTAGTGCTGTTAGCGACTGCTAGTAGGTTATTCAGCCGACCTCTTCTGATTCTGCTTTGCTGCCTTACTTCAAAAGATTTGCCCTATACTGGCTTTCAGTCACAGCTTGATGTAACCACTGCTTGTTTGCATGCATCCCCGTCATTTTCATATAGGGTCTTTTTTTTTTTTTTTTCAAGTTAGAAGGCAAAAGAATTGGGAGCATTTTTATATGATAAAAGATTTATGTAGGGCTAGCTGGAATCAAGCAAAATGAAATTCAGCTGGAAGGGCTGGTAAAAGGCTGAGAGAACTTGTGACTGCCAGAGAAGTCAGTGTTCCTTAAATAAAGAGGGTTCAGCTAACAGGCAGCAACTCTGACTTTGCATTCATATTGAAGCAGGCTCTCCAGCCACTCTGTGCAGGCAGATCAATAAAATCAGAGGTGACTTAATGCCAAGAACCTCAGAATTCAAAGGATTTCTCTTGTCCTTCTTTAAATTTAGTCTACATTGAAGTGTAATGCTAGCCTCAGGAACAGGTGAGAAAATGTATAGAATTTGGTTTATGATTGTATATTAAGCAGTGTCCTTGGAAAATATTCCCTTTGCTTTCTCAGTTATCACATCTGTAAAATGGAGCTAATCTGCTGGAAGGAAAATGATTCCAGTATTTATCAAAACACTGTGAATGAAGATTTATTATAAGTGCTTCCAAAAGCTTAAACAGCAAATGTCTAATGAAAAGTGAATTCATGTCCCATTTATGTATTTGAAAATGTAGTTGACTGCCTTATCAGAGATTGAGTAGTTTGACTGCTTTTGCATGATGAGTATGCAGTGAAATGTGGTAGATTTTATCTTCTTAAAAGCTATATAAATAGCATATTTGACTCACATACAGTCTTTCCTTTGGTTGTTCATCTTTATGTTGACCATGGATCTACTTTCTAGTATATCACATTAGTGTGCAGTATCCCACACTGGTCATATTCTTTTTTTTTTTTCTTTTAACGTTTATTCATTTTTGAGAGACAGAGGCAGAGGGGGGGGAAGATACAGAATCCGAAGCAGGCTCCAGGCTCTGAGCTGTCAGCACAGAGCTCGACGCGGGGCTCGAACTCACGAACCGCGAGATCATGACCTGAGCCGAAGTTGGACGCTCAACCAACTGAGCCACCCAGGCGCACCTCACACTGGTCATATTCTTAAATTGAGCAAATATTCCTTATGTAAGGGTAACACAATATATAAATGATCATTATGGACATGGTTAAGTGTTTACCTGGTGATAGAGTTTATCCTTCTTTCCCTGCTCATCTCATGTACAGCCCTACAGATTCTTATTCTGTCAAAGAGGATAAGCTGCATCTAAACTTACCTCTTGTATGATTGAGTTGAGGCCCTTCTGTTAAAAACTGGAGGTGCTGGGAGTTTTTGTTCTTACCCCATACTGTGTAGATGGCTCATGGTTCCTATAACAAAGCAGCAGGGGGCTCCCTATGAGAGCTTGAGAATTGCTGATGAAAAAGGGCTGGCTTTTGGTTGGTGATGTTCTTTTCATTTCAGGCCCTTTTCTACTAAAAACTTGGCCCTCATTCTGTGAAGACTCCCTAAGGGATTAGAGTGTAGCTGCAGAAGCAGTGGCACCATTTTATTAGTTTAAGAAATTGGTTAACAGTTTAGAGAGATTATACTGGTTTCTAAATTCCAGAAACCTGAATAGATGGAACCTGAGATTGCTTCAGTTGTAGGATTCTTCTCTTTGAATTGAGGTTCATGGTAGGAGACTGTGCAGGTAGCTCCTTTCTTTAGATTCCTTGATGTCTTAAAAGAAAGACATTCCTATATTCTCATTAGCGTTTACTGTTAGTTTTCTGCTTAGCTACAACTCCCTCTGTTCTAGAACCCATGCATACTTTTTACTGGTTGAGGATGGCTACGTGCATGGTAACTAAGGATCTCTTGAAAATTGAAACCCCTTCCCCTGAATGAGAGGCTCAAAGGACCCAAACAGCAAAGGTGCAGGATTTTGCACTCAGAGGTTACTCTTGCTGCCTTATGAATTAGCTCTGTGATACAGGTTTGATGCAAAGAGCATTGCTACTCACAAATCACATGAGGTATACAGTTTGTGTGCAGTGATATGTCACAGCATTTTATTTATATGGCCAGCTCAGTCTATTCTGCTCTTTTCACTGCCATGGAAAGTGCATCATTTTCCTCCCTCTCTCCTCCTTCCCACATATCATCAGCACCACCCACAATGTTCTGCCCATTAAGTCCTGTGTGTGCCAGAAAACCCCAACAATGATTAAATGCTGATAAAAGAATGTTAGAAGGTTAAGATATCAACCAATCAATGCCCTTACAGTACTCCTAAATTGTGGGTGGTAAGTATAACTTTGCCCTTTTAACATTGAAAATAAGGATTTTTTATTTTATTATTTTTTTCAGTTGAGGAAATGACTGACATCAAATTAAGGGGGGGGAGAAAAAAGCATTGGTGGCAAAGACCAAAGAGAATGCAGGAAACTTGCCTTGCAGTTTCCATTCTTACCCTAATCTTTTTTTCATCGTTTTGACAAGTACTTGGTCAGGAAATTCTAGGGCTAGCCAAATTTAGGTGTGGTTTTATTTATGAGAGGCCTAGAGTTTTTGAACTTGGAGTACTCTTAAAAAGTCATTATTACCCTAAAATCATTAAAAAGTATAAATTACTTAATTTTAACAAAGTATATCACTCTAGTTACAGAATCATTTATCATTACATTTCTGCATGATTTTCAGTTTTTTAAGCTCCCATAGTACCGAATACCCTCCTTTCCAACACCCCCACCACTCCTCGCCACCTCCCTGGTCTGTGGGAGGAAGACATAGTTAAAAGGGCTTACAAAAGATAGCTGGGAACCTAGATTCCTGGCTACTTTTCTTTGGAGGAGAGTTTATAAGTTCATCTCATATCCTAGGAAAGCAGTTAAGGTGGGAGGGGCTGTGGAATCAACTTCTTTGGACTTCCTTAGTAAATTTTCAGTAAAATAGGAATAAGAAAGAAGATTCTATAAGACTTGTCAAGAGTGACATTTCATGTTGAAGCTTAAGATAATATGCCATGTCCATAGAGCTTAAATTAATTTTCATGAGGTTGTGTTTTATCACCACTCTGCATTATTTTTTTATAGTAGACTTATTTTTAAAAATCCATGGTAATCCATTTCAACCCTTTCCAGCAACAGTTGCTCTGATGAGGTAGGTCAAGAGGTATGCCTCTTTCGAGGCACCCTGGTGTGTGAAGGGTAATGAGCACTTAATTATGTCTGCTGAATGCCAGAGCTGCCAGGCTGGAGCTCTTCATGTCCGGTCTGTATCTGCTCTGACAATTCTTTTATGATGGCTTTCACTAACCTATCAGTAACTAACTGTGGTTGTTTAATTACAGAGGGAACATCCCCACGCTAAACAGGTACCGTATGTTTAGTTTCTTTTCCAATTAAAATCACATTTTTTGTAACTTAGAATAGTGAAATCAGGGAAATAAATTAACACTACATTTGACAAGTTATGTTGTCTTCTGCTAGGGAGTCCTGAGCTCCCCTTTGGACATACTAAATTATTCTTTCTGTTTGGAAAACATGTCTGCAGCTTTTCTTCAGCTGTTCAAAAAGCAACACTTGGAAAGCCTCAGTATGAGAAGCCCCCCATCTAGCTGTATATGATAGGGGAGTTGTCTGCCTGCTGTTCAGCTTTGCTGTAAACGTCTTTTGCTACATTCTCTGTCTACTTTGGGGCTTTCAGAGGAGAAACCCTTAGGTTACTCCTCCCCTGGCAAATTGTTCTTAATTTTTTAATTTTTAGTTTCTTGAGTTTGCTTCTCCTTTTAGCAGAATGCAAATGCAGAAATAGCTGATCTCATGTTTTATCAGTTTGTTAGCTACTTTTCTAAAGTGTTACAATGATATGAAAACCAAATTTTATTTCAGACTTACAAGATTAACATTTGAAAAGTGTATTTAAGTCTTTGATGTATATAACCCTGTGAAGAAGTTTCCGGGCCAATATATAACACATGTGATATTTTGGTAATTTTGATTCCACCTGCTTCTGAGCCAAGCAAGGCAACACAACGCAAGTTTGAGAGGATAGCAGTTCTGATTGGAATTGGATCTACAAAACGCCAAAGCGGAAAGCAATAAGTTGGTGGCAAGTTCTTCGTAGATGATCAGTTCTGTACATTGAAATATTCATAGACTTATGTTTGTTTTGTTCCTCTCCCTTTAAATATTAAGTAATCAAAACTGATTATAGCTTTCAGAGTCCAGTTTGGATGGGGAGAGAAAAGGGAGTGCATTGGTTTGGTCTTTGTGTCTGCCCTTTGAGAGTGGACTTGGTCCATTCCTGCCTGCCAGAGAAGCTATGTCCTGGCCCCTGAGCATAGTAGTGGGGGAAACTGAACAGTGGATTTCCCCTGGGGTTCAGTAGAGTGAAAAAGATACTTAACCCCATGTTTGCCACAAACACAGCCTGTTAGCTTATTCAGCGGCAGTTCCCTTTAAGTGTTATCTGGAACCCTTTTATCTTTCCTGTCTAATGCCAGGCAGGTAGAAAAAGATATAATGCCTCACAAACTTGCTTCTTTATAAATATGTTTGGTGATCCTAGAAAAGAGGATGATAGCATTTCTAAGTTCATACAACTCTGAATCCCAGTTTCTAGTGAGCACCATGTGTAAGACTTGCTTGATGCGTGTTTCATGTGTTTGTTTCATTCATGGTATCAATGGTTTCCTCTCCCACTCTGCCTTTCTACTCTCTGGTACTGTCAAAAGATGAAGTGCCTTTTTCACAGTCCTCATTTGCCAAGGAATAAAAACTTGGAGTGTCAGTCTCTGTAGTCTGTGTGACCAGCACTCCGTCCCCTGAAAAATTCCATTGCCTTTATAATGACAGTTTGAATAGAGTACAGTATGTATGCAGATCTCTAGTCTGCATTGCTGCCTCTCTTCCCCCTGCAACACTGCAGGTGGTGCACTTCAAGGAGACTTTTGAGCAGCTCCCCAAAGTTTAGGTGCCCCTGCCTTGTTCTGAACTTGCTTCTGATCAGTATGCCGATAACATGGCAGGCAAGTCCTAAAAGCATCGGTTACTTTGTCTTTCCTAACAGGCCGTCCAGATTGATTGGGCATTTGGAAATACTTCCCAGTATTACTTTTAAGTACATACTGCTGAGGTGCATCAAGGAATATACAGACTCCTTATGTTTTTAGCTTGAACAAACAGTTCTCTTGGAGCATCTCCATTTAACACCTGTTTGTCATGCTTACGCATACTTTGAGACCCATGCTCTGCCCTTTTGCATCTTACTAGGATTTCTTAAGGGCTTTTGGTGAGGATATGTTTACTTTGGAATAGGAGTGTTTAAATATAAAAGAGGAAATTTTGCAATTTCGAGTTGAAAAATGTCTCTTTTTCAAAAAGGGAGGAGCTGTAATCCTTACAACTGCTGTCCCCGTCAGCCCAGTAAAGGAAGAAGTAAATACCTCAGTAAAGTTCCTTTTATAAACTGTGACTTGTTTCTGTATGATAAATGCTTTCTGTGATGATTTACTAAACCATTCCAAATGACTTAGTTGTTGTTGTACATGCATATATCTATCTGTGAATACTTAAGGCATTTTTCTCTAGGAATTACAGTAGATTAAGTGTTGCCTAGTTACAGCCCACTTGGCTTGCTTCCTTCCTTTTAAAAAAGGGAATGTTTTAGGGAAGGGGAAGATGCAGGATGGTTTTTAACCCCTGTGTGCTATTCATTCATTAGTCATGCCATGGCGTCCTTGTATTAAAACTGCTACATAGTTCTTCACTATCCTTAGATTTTTATTTGGAGAAATTTGGGGGTGCTAAAAATAGCTTGTGTGGGGTAAAATTGAAATGAAAGGGTTAATGTGAATCCATCAAGACAAGCCTATCCACAGTGGGTAAAAAACCAAATCTGCTCTGCAACCTGACCCTACCTCAGAGTATTCTCTTGCTCCTTTTCTCTATTGTTACTCTCCCAATCCTGCTCCTAACTTCCTTGTCTAATGCACTTGATTGAATTACTGTTTAGAATGTCCTTCTCCTCCAACCTCAACCACTATGGCATGACTCACGTAGCTAGTGTCAGCGATGTGCTGTTGGACAACTCATTCACTCCACCGTGTCAGCGGATGGGCGGAATGGTCTCTTTTCGGACTTTCGAAGATTTTGTCAGGTAAGACACTGTGGAACTGTGTCTGTTCAAGGGGAGCTATAGCCATCTCTGTTTTGGGGTCTCTGATTTCTGCCAAGTGAATAAAGGCCCCCAGAATAGCCATGAGCCAGCTAAAGAGATATAGCCCTTGCTGTATATGTCCTTGGAGAGGTATATGTTCTTCCATTTCTACCTCTTATTCAGACTCCACAAGCCTCTACTTGTTATATGAGCCTGGTCAGAAAAAAAGAAACAAACAAAAACCATCTTTTCCTTAGGAGCTAACAGAAGAAGCTGTCTGCTCTGTGATGAGTGAAATGTCAGGAGAAATTAAACACAACACCAGAGTGAGCCCCACCAGAGACGATACATCTTTTGATTAAATGCATTCAGCATCTATCTCTTGATGTATACTGATGCATTACCCTAGGGGGAGGGGTAATTACATTGGTCTGTCACTGCTCCAGTCCCAGGCTCTTTCTGTTACTTTAAGACCGATGATGACAGCAGTGCTCATAGCTTACATATGAAAAAAACAAAAAAGCTGTAGATCATTCTTTTTTTTTAAAGAAAAAATATATATGGTTTATTAAAGGTTAAACAATCCATCCTCCTAATTTCTGCCACTTGGTGAAATTTTGCATGTCACCTCTAGCCACTGGTGATTCTATTCAGTTGACTACTGAGCACAGAGCAGAATAGATTCTTCTTGTGGACTGGGCTGGCAATGGCAGCATTAGTTTCCTGCCACTTAGGTTTTCTGCCACTTGGGTTTTCATGGTGGGTATTTCTCTGGTATTTTTCAGGATCTTTGATGAAGTGATGGGCTGCTTCTGTGACTCCCCACCCCAAAGCCCCACGTTCCCTGAGGCAGGTCACACATCTCTGTATGATGAAGACAAGGTATAGTGTTCCCTTTGAGAGACTGCTTTGTTACTTCAGACACAGGACTTGTAGTATATGCTATCTTTCTGGCTTTGGAAGAATCCATCTTTTTACCCTACTTTATATTATTTAATTTTATATGCCTCATCAAAGTATTTTTGGGAACAAATGGAATATAAATTCTAATCTAAAAAAAACCAAACTGTATTTATCTTGGAATCCATACTGTGAATAGCAAATGGACTCAGCCATATCCATTGCAGCTGCCTCTGAGTCTCTGAATGTTGTTTTCAAGACTCGAGCTGTGGTTGCTTTAATTCTTAGTGGTGGCTTATATATTTGTAGAATGGTGCTATCATAGTATTCAGGGAATGGCAGACTAGATAGCAGGGGAAAAAAATAGGCATTTTGTTTAGAACTTTGTCCTTTTATTAAATCCCTTCTTTTCATTTCACAGTAAACAGATAATTCTGCTTTTTCCCGATGAGGTGATTTTCCCATGGTTTGATACTTCTACTGTTTGATAAATTGTTAGGAAATATGTGAGAATATGTTCAGATGGCTTCTTCTACTCGTTTTTCTTCACATTCTGTGAAGAAATGTGACAAATGGTTTCATTCCCATTTTATTCATGAAAAAGTTGACACAGTGGTCTTCAAGTTCATGTCAAGTCAGGATTTGAGTCCCCCTCTGGGTAATGCCTTTGCTGCCTTATCTTTGAAAAGTTAGGTGTTTTACTTTATTTGATCTCTGTTGTGGATGCTGATCAATGGTTTCTTTTCCTTTTTTTTTTTTTTTTAATTTTAATGTTTATTTTTATTTTTGAGACAGAGAAAGAATATGAATGGGGGAGGGTCAGAGAGAGGGAGACACAGAATCTGAAGCAGGCTCCAGGCTGTGAGCTGTCAGCACAGAGCCCGACGCGGGGCTCAAACTCACGGACTGTGAGATCATGACCTGAGCCGAAGTCGGATGCCCAACCGACTGAGCCACTCAGGCGCCCCTGATCAATGGTTTCAATTTGCTTATTCATACTAGTGGGGAAACCAGAATGTCCTGTGAGGCGTATCTCTTTTTCAGGTATTCTACCAAGTACTGTAACTTCTCTCTGCCTCTATATTAACCAGCCTGCTAATTTCTTTGTGTTGTGTTCTTGAGTTACAGGTCCCCAGGGATGAACCAATTCACATTCTGAATGTGGCTATCAAGACTGACTGTGATATTGAGGATGACAGACTGGCAGCTATGTTCAGAGAGTTTACCCAACAAAATGTAAGTCCTAGGTTGGGTGGAAATTGATGGTGGCCGCTTTCCTGCTGATGTATCCTACTGATAATCTTACCACTGATAATGGCTATGTCTTTTACATAGTTCTGCCTGTAGGGGTGAAATTCCAAAGTGACTTAATAGTATGTAATGAATATCTCATGTCAAGAAATATAGACCTCAAATATTCAAAATGTTTTTAAGGAAAGTAAGTTGTGTTCTTAAATCTTTCCCAGAGCTCTGTCTTGAACTTCCATTCACCTGCTGAATATTTTCCTTTGGTGACTTAACTCCATAAATCTAGGCCTAGATTCCCCTGAGTTTCCTTCTATATCCTTCCCTTCTGTCCCTTGAAAGTATCAGTTATACTTCCATTCTCCTTTCAATTCTGTGTCTCTTGGATATATTGTGTTGACATCAAACTTCATAGTTTAAACCTAAATTTCCATCATTTTCCTTCACCTCTTATGACCCCCTGCCAACCACCCCCAAGAAACAAAACAAACCCAAGTAACCAAACCCTTTACCCCTAGTCATTTGGAAATCATTGACTTCTTCCTTTCCTTGCCATTCCATTAATCTACTCCTCTACCCACAATCCTTACTTGTTTATTTCCATCAGGTCTGACATCAGGATCTCTGAGGTTTTTCTTTACAGTGTCTCTTACCCTTTCTTTCTTCTTAGTTTTAAAATTCTCAATGCCACCATTCTAGTGTAAACTCTTACCTCACATCTGAGGCATGGCAACAGGTTTACTTGTGATCCATTTGTGTTCCCCTTGTTCTCCCCCCAGCTTCGGTTCTGCTCACTTCCACAAAGTTAAATGTCCAAAATGCCCCCTTACCAAGGTATTCTCCCACTTAGTGTTGGTTCTCTTACCCTCAAGATACATCTGTAGCTTGATATTTAACATCATCCTATTAACGAAGGCTCACAGTCTAGCCTTTGCTGCTCCTAAGTCTTTGTCTCATTTACCTTTGCTTACTTCATCTCTTCTGTGGTCCTCATCTGAAAGGTTTTCTACTCACACTAACTTCCTTCCAGTCCTTCTCTCTCCCCTTCCTTCCTTCCTTCTTCCCTCCCTCCCTTCTTCTGCTTGTTTTAAGAGCTGTCTCAAATTTCACCGCTTTCATGAGGCCTTCTCTGAGTAGCCCTCACTAAAATGTATTTTTCTTCCTTGCATTTCTAATTGGTCATCATATATTTATTAGCAGTAATGATACTTTTTTTTTTATAAAGAGCTTCTATGTAAACTTTTTTATTTGCACCTTATCACAGTCTCATGGGGCTGGATTAGTCAGGAATTATTCTGTTATACACGTGGGGAAAAGTTCAAGTTCAGAGTAGATTAAGGTCCCTTGATCACCCACTGGTAGATGATATAGCAAAAACCTGAATTTAAGGCTTGTGATGCCAGCTCTAAGGGTCACAGATCTAGGTGCTTTAGTAAATAATACATTCTTAGCCCTGAAGATGCTTATAGTCTTATTGGAGGGAATGGTTAGACATGCTCAAATAATAATCTGCAGTTACATTTCATTGTGACATGTGATAGATGCCAAAGCACCTCTCTTCAGCTGCCCTTAATGACAACTACTCATGTGTTTCCTTTGAATGGAAAGCACCTAACTTATACTGCTTGTTATAATGAGAGCTCAATAGATATTTTTTAAAATTAGGGGCGCCTGGGTGGCGCAGTTGGTTAAGCGGCCGACTTCAGCCAGGTCACGATCTCGCGGTCCGTGAGTTCGAGCCCCGCGTTGGGCTCTGGGCTGATGGCTCAGAGCCTGGAGCCTGTTTCCGATTCTGTGTTTCCCTCTCTCTCTGCCCCTCCCCCGTTCAAGCTCTGTCTCTCTCTGTCCCCCCAAAAAAATAAATAAACGTTAAAAAAAAAAAAAGATCTATTTAAAATTTAATTTAGCAATATAAGCAATTAGTGCCATAGGCATTCACATCATGTAATGCTGATGGTAGATACTCAGGAAAAGATGGTAACTTTGTGTTTCAGATGAGTCTTTAATCCATTATACTCTCAAAGCACACAAATTGACTGTAAGATTATAGTGGCCAAGATGAGGAAAAGGTACTTTCAGAGAAGTGAAGGTACGGGACATGCCTGGGAGTTTTTCTTTAGAAGAGAAATTTACCTTTCTTCTTGACCTGGACTAGTGACCTCATAAAATTAACCTGAGACCAGTGACCAAGGTAACCTTAGCTGTAAGAGACCTATTGTTATGTGTGGCTGCTGACTCTGCTGCTTGATGAAATAACATATGACCGTTTCTTCCCAGGTGTTGAGGCGCTAATTGCCGATATTTGATTGTTTTGACCTCAACTTTAGGCTTTTTGTTACCCTCAAATCCAAGTCTTATATATCATCACACATTGGTTTAAAGAAACAGTTTCTTTATTTTTACTGCATATATTTGTAACATTAACTGGCAATAGGAAATTGCCTTTTTCCTTTACTGAACTTGTAAACTGAGGCACAGAGAAATCCAGCATCTTTGTCTAATGCTTTTTTTTTTTTTTTAATTTTTTTTTTAACGTTTATTTATTTTTTTGGGACAGAGAGAGAGAGACAGAGCATGAACAGGGGAGGGGCAGAGAGAGAGGGAGACACAGAATCGGAAACAGGCTCCGGGCTCTGAGCCATCAGCCCAGAGCCCGACGCGGGGCTCGAACTCATGGACCGCGAGATCGTGACCTGGCTGAAGTCGGCCGCTTAACCGACTGCGCCACCCAGGCGCCCCTGTCTAATGCTTTTCGAAAGGCTAAGGGTACACTGTGCTGACATTCTAAGCCTAGAGAAGCTATTAACTGCATTAGGTACTGTGCTTATGCAGGAATACTTGACATTTTCACTTCCTTGTTTTGGGGGGAAAAAAAAAACATAGAAAGGGAAGGAGAAGCAATTAAAAAAACCTGAAATGATAACTAGTTTTGTTTTTCACTTCATGATCATGCTCCTAGCAGTTTAGAAAAAGTTTTTTTTTTTTAAGCACACATTAAACTATCAAATAGGTTGATCCAAATTGTCCAAATAATCTTCTAGTCCCAGCATGTCTTTTTTTCTCTCATAGAAATTAGGATCATATATTTGTAAATGACTTGTGGAGGAGATTGAAGCAGTCAGTGTAAATGGAGTTTCTCCAGGTGCTGACGCCTAATCGCTGGGTAATAGCTGTGGACTTGCTGTGAGACCGGCATTATTACAATGTAATCAGAATCCTGTTGCTCTGCTGTTATTGTCAGCCACTTGTGGAATTTTAAAAGCAATAACAATTTTGATTTTAAATCATGGCATTATTAAAGTTATTTTCTTCCCTTGCCAGAACATAGCTATTGATGCTTGTCTTTGAAGGACTTGGCTGTAGTGGAATTCTTTGTTGGTGCTGGAAAAAAATGTTTCTGTTCCTAGGCATGCTTAAAGAGTGATAACCACGGCAGCCCCCACTACACTGTGTTCTTCTAAAACAGTTTTTTCTTACTGTAGTATCAATACTTGGTTATTTACATTAATGGGTATGATGCCAGTACAGATTCTTTTTAAATGTTAGTAAGCCAAAATTATTCATGTTTGGTCTGGGGATTTATTATTAGATAATTAATTTTTCCAGTTATCTTTTGTTTATGCTGTTAGTTAATTTTATTACTAAGCAGTGCCATAGTAGAAATGGAGAAGTAGGAGGAAAATGGCTCAGGAATGTGCCTATTCATAAGGGGAAGCTAATTTGGACTTAAAAAATACATAGTATCATGAAAGTTAAGAATTGGCTTATGAACATAGCTCTTGGTTCGAGTTACAGCAAGGAATGTGATCAAACTAAAGTCTGACTGTAGTTTGTGAAAATCTACATTTTTTTTTTCTATTTGTATTATTCATATATCCTCTCAGGGCATTCAACTAGTGGCATTGCTTTTCTCTTTGTTGCGATGTAGCCCCTTTTTGTTAAGGACCTTTAAAAGTATGTCCCTTACTTAATTCATTAACCTGTTTCTTTGTTTCTACTTTTGAGATAAATGAGCAGTACGCTATAGAGAAAGGCTTAGATCCAGAGGCCCAAGACTCCTATGAGAGTCTGTCTTGAAGCTGCTGGTGTCTGTTGCCTTCTAATATGCTGCTCGCCTATACCAGGTGGAGATGTCAGTAGCCAGTAAATTTAAAAGCCTGTGAAACATTGCTTTTGCCAATTTTTAAAGAGAATTGAAAAAAAATACCTTCATGTAAAATAGGGGGGAAATATTTTAGAAGAACTAGAAAGGTTAGGACTTGTTCTGCTGAATTCTAGGAATGCAGTATCTGATGATAGGTAGTATCTGTAAGTAACAGTGTAGGACCTGAATTTTCTGTGGTATGGAAATTTCTTCTTTTCCCTCTGATTACATTTAGTTTCTGTATCAGTATGAATCTTCACGTTTGAATACAGGCCCATTAACGTGATTTTTGATAAGCAGAAATTATATTGAGGTCCACCTTGAGGTAAAATAGTCCTTAGAGAATTTAGGTGACTTCATGTGATCTTTTTCCACAGAGTTCTCCTTCAGTTTTGTCCAGATCAATATATGAAACCTATTCCATCAGAGCCAGGTTGAGATATGTTTATTTGCAAGTTTGAAGGTATTGAGGCAAGATGTAGATACACAAAAAAGGGTGCTTGCCCAGTCAGAGCTTTCTGAGGATTAAATGGGGTAAGACTTAGGATGAATGGAGATCTCATCTATCTTCTGTTTACATGTTTTGTTTGTAGAAAGCTACCCTGGTTGAGCATGGGATACGGCGCCTTACTTTCCTGGTCGCACAAAAGGTACTGGCACGTGACCGATACTCCCCCAATATGTCTTAACGCTGCTTCTAGAACTTTAAAAAATAAAATATGGAATTATAATCATTTATTTCTTGTAGAATCTAATAAATTTTTTCCTATAAATTTAATCAAGAAAAAACATTAACTCATCACCTTTTACTTAATTCGTTTTTAATTTTATTATTAATTGCCAGCTTCTGTTTTTTCTTCTTTTCTGTCTTTCATTTGAAAGGATTTCAGAAAACAGGTCAACTATGAGGTGGATCAGAGATTTCATGTAAGTAAAAGGAACCACAATGAAAGATTACTTACTGTTTTATCTATCTGCCACCAATTATTTAAATATAGAGTATGTGTGAGTTCTTTAGAAGAGCTGGACTGATGTTTGGGTCTTCTTTTAGAAAGTGTTAAAATGAATCTTCCAGTTCTTTTTTAGTGTTCCAGCTAAAGTTTGTTTGTTTGTTTGTTTGTTTGTTTTTAACCCTGTAATGAACTCTCAGTATAACTCTGAGAAATAGTTAAGAATGAACACAAGCATTTATCCAGATGACTAAGGAAGAAGTGGGAACTAACTACTAATCTCTTCTGTGCAGAGTGAACATAGGGACTTCAGTAATGAAGCACTGTTGATTGTACTTTGGGGTTTTGGCTTCTACCAAAGTTGGATTCAGGTTCTATTATTGAGAATTCTCAATTCTGAAAAACAATCATTTATTATTTAAAATGTCTTAACAGAACCTAAGTTGGTGTTTTTGTCTTATGTTAATTCTAGGAGCAGGAAATAAATAAAATTAAGCATTAAATTGCTTGTTCTCCCATTTAACTGAATTAATTGTTAGTATTTATGAGAGTAAAAATTTTGTTGAAAAGAGAACTAAGTTAATAGCCTGGCATCCAAACAATGGTATATCCACAATCATACCCATTGTGGTAGTAAGGTCAAAAATCCAGTTTGCAATCAAGATGTTATTTTCTAAAATGACTGATTATTGTTAACATATTTCTTTAAAAATTGATCTTATTGTAGCTAAGTAAGATTCCAGAAGATATTAGGAAGTCTTTATTTTCCTGATAAGAACTTTATTTGGGGGGCACCTGGGTGGCCCAGTCAGTTAAGTGATCCACTCTTGGTTTTGGCTCAGTTTACGATCTCATGGTTTGTGGATTCAGGCTCCACACCCGGCAGCTTGGAGCCTGCTTGGGATTCTCTTTCTCTCCCTCTCTCTCTCTGCCCCTACCCCACTTGTGCTGTCTCTGTCTCTCTCAAATAAATAAACTTAAAAAAAAAAAAGAGTTTCAGGGCAC